TTATAATTCTACAAAACAAAATATATATTGAAAATGAACTTGTGACAAAAAAGTATTGTGTAATTTTGTAACTTATCTAATAATATATACATAGAAGAAAGTCTCAATTATATTTACTTTATTTACTTAGGAGAAAATTCGCAATCATGATTTGATTGATAACAAGACTAAAACATAGATTGATTAGCTGTATTTGATTTTAGCACCACTGATGAAAATACCACAATACTGTAAACTATCTATTTTAGTATGATGTAAAGTATGTGAAAAAAATAATGAAAAGATATAAAGATCATAAAGGAGTTAATTCACTAAGCAAAAATGTTTGGCCCTAAAAATCTGAATTTTTTAAACTGCCATAATCTTGTAAAAACTTGATGAAAACGTATGTTGAAATGTCCAATATTATTTCAGTTAGAGAAGTTTTTCACCAATTGCGTCATTAGTGATGTATGTGTGACGTCATAAATGTAGGTAACACTCATTAAAACCTGAGTTTTGGCATAATTTGGCAAATTTATGACAGTTGTTTGCAAAATTAACAGTGGCGCCACCCCTAGCCAACAAATAGTATTGCTAAAATATCCTTATATACCATAGTCTCTAATTTTCAACCAGAATTTCAATGGACAAGGGTGGCGTCATTATAAAATATTGATATAAGGTGACAAAGGGGACAATTTCAGGAAAAAATAACTAAAATGAAATATTTTCCTATTTCAGTCTAATACATTTATAATATATGAAGCAGACATACATTTCTTTATTATACTTTCAAAATTAATACATTGACCAATACATACACATTAGATTTACTCAAGCAACTAAAGTTTGAAAAATTCACATAATATACATGTACATTGTACAGGGCCGTAAATTGGGGTTATGGCTCTACTCCTGATGACAGATAGGAAGATTTTAAACTCTCTGCTTTCAAAACATAGTTTTCTGTAAGACAAATGTAAAACGCTGTATAAAATTAAACATCTGAAAGTTAAGGAAAATGACATCATATTTTAGTAAATGTATCTTTAAATACTTATCCTTTTCAGTTGTCTAAATTCTTAAAGATCAATTATATTGAATAATTCTTTTAACAAGCATGTTTACTGAGGCGTGTACTATTATTGCAGGCCAGGTTTACTGTCAAAATGAAGCTTACACAATATCTCTGTTAAACTAATGTCTTAAATCAGATTCATTGTACCTCTCTACATGACAGGCGATTTCTTTATCAATTAACATTAAAAAATTGGTCTTTTTGTCTTTTGGTCAAATGTTATGAATATAGATAAATTATTACTTGACGTACATACGATTTAGCAATAAACCATGATTTTCCTTTGACATTTAGTGATTCTACTTCGTCAAAATTATCTCCCTAATACGCAACCTCATTTTTGCAATCGTAAAAATGGAAGCCATTGTAGGGATGACGCGCTGTCAATTTTGCTCTTGAAAACCGACAAATTTATCCACATAGCTTCATTACGATCCTGATATGACAGTTGTATTTCAAAAGACAAATGTATCTACTAGCTATTAGGCATCATTAAGGGAGGAACCATTTAACTTAAATAGGGGGGGGGGGGGGGGGGGGGGGTTACGGTTTTTTGTCCGAGTTAGACATTTTTTTTCCCGCAAAGCGCAAATATTTTTTTTTAGTTTTTCGACGCTATCAATCAAATTATTTTTTTCAAAATTTAACATTATAAGGTATGGGAAAAAATTTGGTTTCAGAATATTTGTTTGTGTCATCTGCTAGACCACAAAATTTTTTTTCATCAAATTGGGGATCAGAATATTTTTTTAGGAAAAAACCATACCCCCCCCCCCCCCTTTTGAAGTTAAATGGTCGGTCCCTAATGTACTTTTATGTCTTTTGTCAACTTAAAACTATTGTCTGATCAGTTGTTAGTGGGAATTTCCGAAAGTTAAAATCCATTAAAAAATGTTCTAAATTGAATTAAATATTTCGTGGAAGGGCAGACTAAAAATGTTCAGAGGTTGAAGACTAATCACCATAGATATTACACATAAGATCACAAGTAAATTATGTCGTCAAGTATTTTTAAAGGATAAATATGCTATTCAAACACGCCTACTCTGTTTTGACTCATTAAGAAAGGTATTTCACTTGATCCATATATTTTATTTTTTATTACTGTGAATTTTTAATGTCATTATATCAACCTGTAGCCTAAATATATAAAAATAATAGGACCCGAAGCGAAATAGTGTATCAAATATTTTTGCGTTATACGTTTTCAAGACAAAATAGTCAACTCAAACACGCCTGAACATAAAAAAAGGTGTACTCTACTTTCTCTTCTCTTTTTGATATATTTATTGCCCATTTTGGGGATTTTTTCACCTAAAAATGTTGCCGGGGCAGAGATTCAAAAAATTAATGTATCAAAAAGATCAATCTTTTATCTTTCTTTTGATTTTTTTTTCGGTGGAATTGATGTTTAATTATGCAGTTTTCACCATGTTTAACATGTTTAAGTTATAAAATCAATACTCGTTCTCAACCCCGCTGCATTTTTGCGCTTGTCCCAAGTCAGGAGCCTCTGGCCTTTGTTAGTCTTCAAAGTTGTATGTTTTTATTTAAAATTTAGTTCATTTATATGTTTCGGAGTTTAGTGTGACGTCCATTTTCACTGAACTAGAACACATTTTTGTTTAGGGGCCAGCTGAAGCCCGTCTCCGGGTGTGGGATTTTGTCGCTGCGTTGTAGACCACTTGGTGGCCTTGGGCTGTTTTTTGCTCATTGGTCGGGTTGTTGTTTCTTTGACACATTCCCCATTTTCATTCTCAATTTCATTCTCAACATTCTCAAATAACTTTTTAAAAACTCTATTTCTGTTTATAAAATACCAGAATGAAATGACATTATGGTGGTTCTTATTTCTTTCATTTTTGATTTATTTTGAATATCCACAAAAGTTACATGAAGATGAATGTGTTAACATTTGTGAAAATTATTATTTATTTTAAATCATCGATCTACAATACCAATGACATTTTGAAACTCATCCCTCCAGGCAATAAACTGTGTTGTCTACATCTATTTTTTTTTTTATCTATATCATGTATATTCTAATTCCTGATTATCCTGATAATTACTAATCACTAATTTCACATGTCCATGGTCACGAATTTATGTTTTTTTTAAATTTGTCGGATAAAGAAAAATTTATATATCTTTTTAAAAATATCGATATTTGTAATAGTGTTGCCAAAACCTGCAATTTGATTTTAACAAGAAGAAACAGTATTCTATATCATTAATTGCTCTTTGTAGTATTTTATATATGAATTGGTATAGATATGTATTTTAATAGTCTCTCATAATTCTTTTAAGAATGGCACATACATATATTTTACTTGTTTTTATATATGTTTGCAGTATATTTATATATAGTATATATATTTCTTGTTTTAAATGTATGTTGTATTTGGTGAGACTTTAATAAACTATTGAATCTGAATCTGAATCAGTAAATATGTGAGGTTCTTCTTTATTAATTAATTTTTAGACCATTTTTTTCTATTCTTTATATTTTTCGCAAATTTTTCTCTATTCTTTATATTTTAGCACCCCATTGTTCTCTATTTATTTTTTAGAGGGTGGGTCTATTTTTTTTCTATTCTTCATTTGTTTTTTGCACTTTATTTTGCATTCTTTTTCCATTATTCTCTATTCTGTCAATCCCATTCAGACCCTCATATATCATATATTGTATACATAATTATTGGTATAAAAATATTTTTGATATACAAATGTACTTTTTCATGTTTTAAAATCAATTCTGAATGCGACCATGTTATTAACTAAGTAAATTTTGAAACAACTCACTTATTAATACAAAATTTAAAAACAATATATTCATGAAAGAGGGTCTGGATGAGGGGTTCCCTAATTTCTTTACTCTTTTATTTTTAGACCATTTTTTCTATTCTTTATTTATTTTGCCCATTATTCTCTATGCTTTATATTTAAGCACCCCATTATTATCTTTCTTTTTTTTGGCCTACATTTCTCTATTATTTCTTCTTTTTGTCCTTTATTCTGTCCTTTTGCCCATTATTCTCTATTCTGTAAGCCCAATCCAGAACATCATGGAACACTTTACCATGTTTACCTTAAAATTGAAGCTTACAGATACAAAAAAAAACTGTTCTCGCTCATAGTTAATGTTTTAATCAAAACAAGTATAACAGATGTAACACTTGTACATTAATCATGTTAATGAGGTACAATGTAAATATCAAAAAGAAAAAGAAAGGAGATGTGGGATACATCGATAATACATAAACCTAACAAAAAATGTAACCAAAAGACATGTAGATTAATATATCATTCAGGAATTAAAAGTTTTTAAAAATTGAATCAATGAAAGATTCAAATGTTATAGCCATAATGTTACAAAATATTTATGTGGATGACCTTGCATGCAAATATTGAAAATAAGAATAAAAGGAGATGTTGAATTGGGCAGAGGTGGATTTATGGGGAGAACCCAAGGGCTGGGTCCCTTTATGGAGCTTTATATATGATAAATGCATCGACCTTTTACAAGTATCACTCCAAACGTTTGCTGGACAGCCCTACCCCCTCCTTGTCAAAATCTTGGTTTCGCACCCGTTTGGTACATATGCAAAAGAGACTGCAGCTCAAATTCAATAAGAAAGGCATATGGACTTTTTCAAGGATGGCACCAATCTATATAAAATTAGATACCAAGCTTTGACAATACATGTTAATTAAAGATGAAAGCTATGCAAAAGTTTCAAAGTAATTTAATATTCCATGACTGAGGGGACAGGGCCAAATAATCCCCGAGGAAATGAAAATATCTTACCATTAACAAAATGTCCCACACAATGTTTTAAGATATGTTTGTTTAAATAGCTTGATAAGTATAAAGATGGACGAGTAGACATGACTGAATATGACATCTGCTTTGTTAGTAAAAAAATAATGTACTTTGTAGGCTGCTTCATAGGTACATGGGGAAATAATTGTACAGCACTATGCCCTTCAAATTGTATCAACAATCATTGTTATCCTAAAAACGGTTACTGCGTTTGGGGATGTGACCCAAGTAACTGTATTAACAACAAATGTGATAAACAAACAGGTGTTTGTACTGATGGATGTGTTGCTGGGCGAGCCGGACAGTTCTGTAGCAAATGTAGGTGCTTTCTGCTAACTTTCGTTTAAGATATCAACAAATGGTCCATTCAAATAAAGAAACTGAACATTAGACATGTTAGACTTAACTTAATAATTTTAGCTTTACCTTTAAAACATTGTGAAATATACTTTATCGAGCTGATATCGTGTACATTTGATTTTTTCTTTTTTATTTTATTTGAATTAATTAAAAAACTTTTAACTACGTTTTATAATTATACACTATTTATTGCTTTGATTTTCGTTCTGTTTTGCATTTTTTGTGTTTTGGATGGGTTGAAGAAAGTTAAATATCTTAAAATAAAACTCTGTTTTGCTTGTTTCTCCTATGTGAAGCAAATGCATTTTCTAGACTTACAGCTGTATAATTCAATATTGATTAGATTGTTTATGCCACAGATAATCTAGCATACAATGGTACAGCCACCCAAAATCCTCTTAATCCAAATAAACCTGCTAGTTTGTCCATTGATGGAAACCGAACAAATGGCATGTGTTCCAGGACAACCGGATCAAGTTCTTATCTTCAGGTCGACACTGGCTCCATGAGTGTTGTAACTACAGTTTATCTAACCTATGGTGGTAAGAATTAATTATAGCATTTGTAAAGTAGCCATTATATCTGTCATTTTTCTATAAACTATGTTTTTTAACGTTAGGATTTGATACAAAAATCACTTATTTCTATTGGAACAAATAAGTGAATATTGTATATTTACGTATATTTGAAGTTATCAAAAGGGTTCATATCACTTCCGTTTTTCTGGATTGCTACTCAGAAATGTGTTTAGGGTCCAAAACGACCGACAAGGCTACAAACAATATGGTAGTGGTATAATTTCAATTCTGTACGATAATTTCTAAGAATGAATATTATTTTTTTTCTTAATTCAAGGTCGTATATGGTCTATGGAAGGTCAAATAGTAGACACATAGTATTATCCCATCTCTATTTCCGGGCACCTTTGAAGATATAAAGAACCGTACTATGTATTGGCTCCTGAACCTACACACAAAATTGTCAAATATCTCGACTCCACCGATTAATTTTCGTCATCTATGTACCTTTCTTGATTTAGATATATATGTGTCACCAGAGAAACTGTATACTCAATGTACGACAAAAGAGAACCTGTTTCTTCCTCAGTATTTTTTTTCTAATTTGTGTAGTAAAATTAAATGTTCCAGAGGTCCCTTCTTATTAAAGATGTGTATACTCTCAAACTCGTTCTCTATGCTCATGGCTGTAGCGACGTCATTAATTTCAATGAACGTAATCTATGTGTAACTGATTAATTATTGAGTCAAGGATTTATTCAAATAGGATAAAAACGTTTACAAATTTCTTCTATAGACACTTAGTTTGGGTTCGGAAGTTTGACTGTACATGTACCTGTACAAATCTTATTACTAAACGGATATGACATTCTAGTTTTATGGTGTGTTATTTTAATTAGACTTCGTCAATTGATGAAAGATACGATCCATGTAAACTTATTGATCCTTTGAATCAGCTAATTCTCAAGTTGATAAATTTTACACTGCATTCAGATATTGAAATTTTGCCCTTATAGGTACTTACGTCGAGTTCATTTAAAATTAAAGGGGCACTAGCTACGAGATATAAAAAAATTATAAAATATGATTGTTTTTGTTCAATCATTAATGAAAGTGGAATAGTGAAATAATAATTCGCTTTTAGCAGCCAGTATTGTCTAATTGTTTCAAAATAAGCAAATAGATATTGATGATAAATTATTCACTTGCAAGTGAATAATTCGACCTCATTGAATCCGTATTCATGTGAACTTCAATTTAACCCCTTAGATAGAGTTGAATAACGCATGAATTGTGTGCATTTTTGATTATTTAAAGGAAAAGAATGTCAACATTGAAAGTAAACAAAGGTAATTCATTTGATTGACTGATTCGATCCCCAAAAAAATCATTCTTGTAGGTAAAAATGATGATTAACATATATTTTTAATCTATAAATGAAATTAAATAGACCTAGAAGAATCCAATTGCACGAGTTGCGCCATCTATTTATATCTTTATTTATGTTTATATCCCTTATATGGGCATCAGTGGTTTTCGGGAGGTCAACTCGACAGTTAATTAGATGGCGTCTAGACTAAAATACACACAAAACGAAGCTACATATTATCGACCCTATTCCATGTAAATTGTTTATTTTAGATTTGTTTGTAATTTGGATAAATGTTTTACATTGTTATATAACAAATATGAGAATTAGAGTCAAATCGGTGAACATGAATTTGACAGCTAGTGCCCCTTTAAATCACAACTAAACAAAAATAGCTATCTAGTTATTAACACTTATGATCCTGTATCTTGTTGATGCTTATATTTTGGGTATTGAACAATTTGTATTGTGTTATTGAAATTTGTGTAACAAAATTTGGGAATTTTTTTTAAAGTAAGGAATATTTCTTCCTCATGCAATCTTCTGATTCCTTGTCCGTCCTCGCCTATAATTTTTGTTTGCATTTATGAACGAATTCTGTAAAAACGTCACTTCAGATACTGTACGACCATTCAAAAGGGAACACTTTCCCGTGTGAAACTAAAATATTCAAATCGAAAAATCGAGAAAAAGACAATTATTATTGTTTGTATTTTCAAAGTAAGTTTCCTTAAGTAAATGTCTGCAGTAAAATTAGAAAGTTACTTGAGGCAAACGTATCACCAAGGTAACGGTAAGCGTTTTTAAAGTTTATCATATTAAAAGTAATAAAGACAAATATTTCCTGAGAACAGCTCACCTAACAGTTCATGACAAATTTCAAGAAATTTTAGAACTGATCCCAAGTATACTTACAAATGTATCAATCATGACGACATCCACTATAGACTTTTGTATATTTTGGACTATTAGTATAGTTCCCATATCCTATTCCCACTGTCCTAACCATAGTTTCAAGTTCATATCATAGAAAAATCTTTTCTATTTGTTTATAGTATTTTTTGGTTTTTTGGTTAGTGCAACGTATTGCTCTATTTTATAACCATTCGCAAAGAACACATTTGTGGCCGATGACAAACAAAATTAATGTTCTTCATTTTAGACATAAATATGTCCTAAGCAACGATTAACGTCATTCGATTTATCATAGTGTAAATCAGGGCAGATGTGTTGGTTGACATAAAATCTGATACCAGTGGGATATCCAGTGAACGAAAACAAAAGAAAATTCACTCTTCTTTTATAGAGTCGAGAAAGTCAATAATAAAACAAATACCGGTGACGATACTGATCAAAAGTTATTTCTAAATAATAATTGTACATTTTAAATAAATTATTAATTAACCTGTGTTATTAGAAATATACATGCAAATACACGATGTTTTATGTTCAGTATTCATCGAGATAATTGCTTTAGAAGCTTGTGAAACTGAAATTTAAAAACTGCCAATCTTTGCTGCATATTGATAAAAAAAACTTGAAAAAATCATGTAAATACAAAATTGACAGATCATTCGGGTCACCAATTTCTGAGTGTTCCAAAAACTCCTTAGCATGTTACAATTTCCCAAAGTGTGCTTATTTGTTCACACCTAAGTTATCGAGCACACCGGTCTGCACTTGTCACATGTACATTCAATAGTAATAAGAAAACTATTGTCTTTGCGTGAATATAAACATTTAAAAGTCTGTCTGTGCAGGTTAAAAAATTAAAGATAACTATTTTATAAAGTAGGTATGTTCTACAATTTTGTATACAACTTTAATAAAAAGTCGTCTCGAGTTTTGTACAAGTATTTATGGTCTTCTCGATCTATTCACATTCAATGTTTACATCGAGATAAGGTCTGTTTGATTTTGCTTAGTAACTTAATTTCAAAAGTGCCAATCTTTGCTGCATATCAATCGATTCCTTTGAAAGTTTTTCTCTGACTTTCTCTGATCTAGCTGTATATATATACGAATAATTAGCATGTTCCAGAGAGGGTATACAGACAGTAAAAAAATAAATTGAAGTTGGTACTGCAGGAATTTATTCGCATAGCAACATTTTAAACTAATTTTACCAAAACATCTTTAGCCTGCTGCACTCGTCGTTTGCTACTTAAGGAGGAAAATGATAATATTGAGTGGAAGTTTCGTTTTTATTTCAATTTATTTCTATTTTTACTATTTACCAGAACATTTTTCCGTGAATCCATAATTGATAGCGTCCTTGCTAAAATGGGACAAACATTGAGAAGATCTAGTTTTCAGTGTTTACAGGGGAGGCAATATTTTGTCACTAGATTTCCCACTGATACTGAATCACGCATTTGTTTTATTCCGAGTACCCACTGATGTTATTGTAATACTTCGTGCTTTAAGTGAAAACAATGTGGATTATTCGTTTACCTGGTCATCTACTTTGTTAAATATATAATTTGGTATATAATGTTTTGGTTATGAAAGTTGCTAGCTTTTCTCTACATGTTCTTGCGCTCTTATCGCGCAAAAGACTTTTTTGTGTTACAAGTTCATATAGTGACATTAATTTTAAACGGCAAGTATATTCATCATGTTTATGATTACACATTAATATATAATATTTGTATGTTTCTTACAGATCCACCGTTAACAACAGGTGATGACATGATATATTGTTCCAATACAAGTAATTCTTGGGTTGATGGCTTTGTGTTATATAAGGGCGAACGTCCGACTAAGAATATAAATGTACTTGCCGTTTGCAGATATATTACGTTTGTACCACCTGCAGCAAATGGAGTTGATGTGTGTGAAATTGAAATTGGCGGTAACTGCAATTTTTTTTTTAATTATAGAAATAGTCTACTCATTCTACTTGATAAGTAAATTGTACACAAACAGTGTATTTTGCAGATAATTGACATATATACGTTGTAGAAAATTTGTAAAAATTGGGTCTTAAGTATTTTATATCCCTGACAATTTCTTAGAGACTATGCATAATCACTGTTGTCGTTTTGGATTAAATGTAATCGCTGAAATATTTAGGTATTATGCATAATAACTAAAAAAAATAACAGTGATTAAACAGAAAAACTGGAATGAAAACAAATTAAAAATATGATTACAAGTTGAATAACTTCTTCTGTAACATCATAACAATCATTAATATCTAAATGTCGAAAACAAAATACTTTGAAAAACATCTTTTTTCCACCAAACTACTTACATTCCACGGATGTCCTGATTTTCTGAATGAAATCTATTCTATTCACATCGGTGTTTGATACATCAACATTTTCAAAAACCTTATCCTCCGCATATCATGGCATATTGAATCTTATTTTACAAACTTCCATCTGTTTTAGATTTTTAGATAATGCATAATATATTCTTTACTAGAAGATTATTTCAAGAAAATATCTTTATCGTATCTTTAAATGTCGTTGTATGTTACTTTCAAATTTTCATGTCGTCGTTAGGATGTCCGTTAGGAAGATATGGAGTAAACTGTGAACATTTTTGTCACTGCAAAGGATTGTGTGATTCAGTTACTGGACAGTGTACACTTGGCTGTTTCGATGGATGGACCGGTGAAAGATGTGACAAAGGTTAAAACTTTTTATTTTCTGCTACCGACATAATGATTTTAATCAATGTTGTTTTAAAATCTTTACAACTTCCAATAGAAAGACATTTATAATTAGTTTTAATAATTAGTATATTTGAGGGCTCTCCACCTTTCTGTTGCAAACCATTAATGTTATCATAATCAAAGTAAAAGATCTTGCTATTGTTCTTGGGTAGCACCTTTAGAATTTTTTTTATTACTTTCACGTTATTCAAAAGATTTATGACACGTGATATCGAACAGTGGTTCATATTTTCCTGTTGACCATCTTTTTTACAGAACACATCAACCATTACAAAACTGTCGGTCCCGCGTTTGTAGGTATAGAAAACAAGTTTTTATTGTTTCCCAAATTTGAATTTTTAGATGACATATTATCGGAGTTATTTCCACGTTAAAATGTGATCAAAATGATTTAAGATGTACGTAGTTTTAACGCATATAGTTTTGTTACATTACATCTTGGTCCAAGAGCAATCATTCGAAATCAAATTCAAAGGTCAATATTTTTACCTTTGCTGTATCCGATATCGATAAAAAGTTTTCTGTCAAATTGCTGGTTAGGATATACACAATTGAAATAATTTCTTTCGATGTGTTCTGGTGACTTTTACAGTTTACTTCTATAAACATTTGAACTAAGCCGTTTTGTAATATAACTCTTAAACTATACAAATAGGAGGCAAGGTTTCTTTTGAAATGACATTAATGACATATGATCTCTTAATTACGGGCAAGGTCTAAGTATATTTGTCATGTTTATATTTGATCTATATTTTACCCTTATCCTGGTTTTACAATTTTTTTAACTGTCGGTAAAAGCAAAAGAAACAAACCGAGCAAAATTTGTTTTTGAGAAGAATAGACATATATTTGAATCCATTAAAATGTAAAGGCATTGTTATAGATTTATGCTGCGCATCATAAAGCCATGTTAGCATTAGGTTAAATGTGAGAGACATAATTTATGACCTTTAAAAAAGTTCAGCGGAACGCGACCTTTTATTAACAGAAAAGTTGGCTATATCAGAATTGTTTGAGGAAGTTTTACCAATTTTCGAGGTATTCAATATACCTTTATAATCTTCCGCCTCTCTTTTCCATATATTAAAATTTTTCTGAACAGACAATTTTCAAATGTTTAAGTAACATATTATGTAACCCATATGTGTCTTTGATCCATGAATTGCACGTGCACATGCATACTATGGTTGACATACAGTTAAAACACTTGATTATGAACACAATGAACAAATGATTTATAATTAAGTTATAAATAATATATGAACACTGACGGTCTTACGTTTCGATTTATCTATTTGATGTATTGGTCTTGAACTAGCATTTAATGATTTGCATAACTGCGAGTACTATTAGATCGAAACTGTGTGTCTTTTTGTTAACAATGTAGTTAGTTGATTATTTTTTTCTTTGTGTTGATCATATGAGTCAAGCCTAAAGGACCTGATTTTCAAAGATAGTTCTAATATTGTGCTTTTACATCACTGTCCCAGGTTAGGGAAGGGTTGAGCGCTCGCAAACATGTTTAACCCCGCTTCATTTTGTATGTATGTCAGGAGCCTCTAATTCAGTGGTAGTCAGTTTGTTTTCTTTCTATAACATTTGTTTTTCTTTAACTGCTTTGTGAATACATCGGGCCGTTGGTGTTGTCGTTTGAATTCATTAACATTTTGATATTTCGGTTTTGGTTTTATAGCTTGTTATTTGCTGTGGATTTTTAACCAATTGTTGAAGGTAGTACGCATACGGCTACCTATATAGATATAGAAAGATGTGGTATGAGTGCCAATGAGACAACTCTCCATCCAAGTAACAATTTATAAAAGTAAACCATTATAGGTCAAGGTAAGGCCTTCAACACGGAACATTGGCTCACACCGAACAGCAAGCTATAAAGGGCCCCAAAAATTACTAGTGTACAACCTTTCAAACGGGTAACCAACAGTCTATACTTGCTTAAATGCGTCAGTGCCTGCAAACGAATATATATATATATATATATATATATATATATTAAATGACTGAATAATAGCCAACGATAAATCTTACGGGGCGATGGATCATATAAATATGATACAGTACACTACAAAATATAATATATAACCAGTCTAAAAGGGTACAACATCACCAAAAAATGACAATAAACGAACAAATGTAACTATAAATATTTCGGATAACAGATATCCTTCAACAATATGAGCACGATGTAAAATGAATCAGATAAATCTATTCTGATTATTAAACTAAAGCAATCTTGAATTCTATACAATAAAAAAAGTGAAACAGTTTCTCCCGAACATCATATGTAGAGACGCTAATAAATTTTTAAAATTTCCAAAAAAAGACTCAAAGACATGCCTAAAATGAAAATAGTAATTATAGATATAAACTGGCACAACTTTAAAATTCCAAAATGATGTCAGTTAAGATGTTAAAACAACTGCGTGTAAATAGATTCCCAAAAGAACAGCACTGGTCGATATAAGCTGGTAAAATATGACAAACAGAGGCTGCGTATATATCATTCCAAATAAATAGCAGTTTTATAATGAAAAGAAAAAATAATAGTAAATTTGGGCTAAAGTTAAAAGTTGGACGTGGATGCGTACTTGTATATCCCTACCAAATGAAAAGAACCCTGGTATTTAGACTAGTAAAATTTCAAAAATTCCAAAAGAATCCTTAAAACTGTAAGTCAAGTAAGGAAGCCGGAGTAACTGGAAACAAATGATGTCAGGAAAATGAGTGATGGTAGGGAAAATGAGTGACTCATTCTATGTTTTTTCATTTATGCCCTCTGGGGAAACTGTCCTTAGCTTTCTTATCCAAAACCTTTCCCGAGCAAGTCTTTCGGCCCTTGACCAACCCTTGTTGTGGTCTATGATTGTGATTGTAAGCTGATCTCAAAAACCTTACAATCACAATCATAGACAAGGGCCGAAAGACTTGCTCGGGAAAGGTTTTGGATAAGAAAGCTAAGGACAGTTTCCCCAGAGGGCATAAATGAAAAAAACATAGAATGAGTCACTCATTTTCTCTACCATCACTCATTTTCCTGACATCATTTGTTTCCAGTTACTCCGGCTTCCTTACTTGACTCTTACAGTTTTAAGGATTCTTTGGGAATTTTTGGAATTTTACTAGTTTAAATACCAGGGTTCTTTTCATTTGGTAGGGATATACAAGTACGCATCCACGTCCAACTTTTAACTTTAGCCCAAATTTACTATTATTTTTTCTTTTCATTATAAAACTGCTATTTATTTGGAATGATAAATACGCAGCCTCTGTTTGTCATATTTTACCAGCTTATATCGATCAGTGCTGTTCTTTTGGGAATCTATTTACACGCAGTTGTTGTAACATCTTAACTGACATCATTTTGGAATTTTAAAGTTGTGCCAATTCATATCTATAATTACTATTTTCATTTTAGGCATGTCTTTGAGTCGTTTTTTGGAAATTTTAAAAATTTATTAGCGTCTCTACATATGATGTTCGGGTGAAACTGTTTCACTTTTTTTATTGTATAGAATTCAAGATTGCTTTAGTTTAATAATCAGAATAGATTTATCTGATTCATTTTACATCGTGCTCATATTGATGAAGGATATCTGTTATCCGAAATATTTATAGTTACATTTGTTCGTTTATTGTCATTTTTTGGTGATGTTATACCCTTTTAGACTGGTTATATATATATATATATTTATATATATATATATATAGATTGCCTAACAATGTAATTTTAACACACTATTTAGTATGTAAATATAAGAATGTTTAAAATATTTACAAAATGATGAAAATAAACGCAATATTTCGCTAGACTAACTAGCTTTATCAAGCGTGCATCTATCCAGGTGAAATCGGATGTAGATGATAAGAAACTTTTGCAGCTCAATGTATATGGTGCACTTGAAATTAACTGCCTTGAAAATAATACATAATTTGGATGAAGTTCGAGATTTTTACAAAATTGGTAGTTGAAGTTAGCAACGTCCAATGGCCAATATTACAGGATAAAAAGGACGATGCTGTGTACTAAATTATTCTTTATCTTTACTGTATCTTTTCTCATCTTTTTCGTTAAGACCATCAGGTTCTAAAGTGTGGAGTTGGTGGATCCAAAAATTTTCTCGTCTCCTTCTCGCCGTGGTGTCCCACTCGGTGTTGACTTCTATGATTTGGAAAGTAACATTATCAAAAGAATAATTTTATTTGTGTAATTGAATTAATATCTGTACTGATTAATCCACACTCCCATAGATTTGTATGTCATGTACTGCTATTTATAGGCACTTATATATATATATATATATATATATATATATATATATATAAGTCTAGAGATTTGCACAACGATACTAATATAAGATGGTATTATACGAAGATGTTGTTAATAAATCGTGTTGACAAATATTTCGGCTTAACAAATAGCCTTCTTCGGTGTCAATTATTTTAACATTTAAAATAATTAAAATAATTGACACCGAAGAAGGCTATTTGTTAAGCCGAAATATTTGTCAACACGATTTATTAACAACATCTTCGTATAATACCATCTTATATTAGTATCGTTGTGCAAATCTCTAGACTTATATAATTTTTTCCTTATCTGCACAGTATCGTCTATTCTAGACGATCCGGTACATAGTAAATTTGCTGGTTGGTCCTTTTTATAGACTTCTATATATATATATATATATATATATATATATATATCCCAGTTGATACGATATTTGCTGCTGCTTACAAGCAAGCAATTAAACCAACGGTTTCAAGTGGTATAGTTGAAATTATCTCTTTTGGATTTTACGGACGCCATCACGAGTTAAGTGGTCGTTATGGAATATCTGTTTCACAGATGACGACGGGTATATCTAAATTTGTCGTTACATGATCTTGTCCTCCTTTCCTTCAGTCTTTAGTTTTCTACGACGGGTTTCGTACATGTATATTGTTGCTTGTCTTTTGGTCTTCTTGTTTTTTGCTATGACAGTGTCAAATCGTTTTTGACTTACCATTCCAGAGCCCGTGAGATTATCTAATTTTTTGGTGGGGTTCGTGGTACTTCGTCTTCAGTCAACTATGTTGTATTTTGAAGACTGCGATTTTAGTTGTTTTGGGGTTTTTTTTTTTTTTGCCCTAGTTTAAATATTTTTTATTGGTATTTTCCGCCTATCTTTGTCATTTGGACTCTGTTTATTACTTGTCTCGTATGTATTCATTGAAGTGCGTTAAAACCTTCATAATCAACTGATCGGAATTAAGAAAATGGAAATGCTCTGAACAGTTTGATTTTAATGTGTGTTTTTTACGAGTTGATTTTTTTATTTGTATAAAATTGATTTAAGAAAATATAGTGTGCGTTGAAATACAAAACAGATAAGCAGTAGCTTCAGAAACAATTCAGTGCTCCGAAATAGTAATTAGCGATAAGTTCTGTAAAACATGTAATAGTAAATATCATAATTCGTTTATTTTCTTATTTTCAATAATGCCGTTGGCGAAATTTCTAACATTGATAGCAAAAACGGTTAAAACGCTTCTGATTTATTATAGCTCGACAACACTGCCAGTAGGCAATAACGGGTTGCCTCTGCCAAAAGCTATTTGTTTGGCAGAGGCTGTGCTATATTCTATTTACTTTCAATGATATATCAGCTAATATCCTTTGTTAAAATAACATTACAGACAATTGACTGAGATGACACAGACATATAGCCATTTTAATAAAAAGAAATATCTTTTAGTATTTGTTTAGTCATTTTGTTCAATTTACTTATTTCCTGATTTCACATATATTGTTTCATAGTACAAGGACATTACAGGAATAAATGATGTTAATATGCGTACTTCAGGAAATAACCTTACTGCTTTCTGAGGGTTATAGTTTTATATTTTAGTATGGGCATACCAGACTGGTGTTCAAATTGGTAACCGTTTCGTTACTCCGAACCAAACTATAAGACTATTTATTTTCACAGCTTGTAATAATGGTTACTTCGGAAGTGAATGCAATAGGACGTGTTCCAAAAACTGCATAAAGCCGTCATGTGATCATGTTTCAGGTGAATGTAATGAAGGTTGCATTAAAGGATGGGAGGAATACAATTGCACAAAAGGTTTGTTTGGTTGAATTTCAATTTTTTAATTCAAATTAAAATAATGTTGTTTACAAAACAACAAAAAAACTTTCAGAATCGTAGGTATCGTAATTAAGACCAATACATTTTCATTTTAACTAAAAATCACTATATTGTCAGTCACACAATCCATGTTTACCCGAAATAACAAAATAATTAGTAGTGTAATACCCGACTCTTCCCTTTCTACAAATATTAAAACTCCTATAAATTCAAAAATCATCAAGCATGATTTCTGCATAATGATTACTGTACCCTAAATCAATTATTCTAAAAACAGGTGTCGTTTGCATGGAACCCAGTAACATATTTTTACCGACACATGTAGTTATATTATTACTGGGAAAAGATACAGCTTATATTGCAAATCACAGCTTCAAAATTCGAGATATTGTACCCGGAAACAGAATCTCAATGTTCATCAAGACCATAGTTATAACAATTAAGAAAACAACTCTGTGTGGTGGTTTTATCGAAAGAATATTAAACCTTAGATACATGTATCAATTACACTACTTGTGTTAATCTTAAATCAGCTCAACGAAAATTATGAATGTTATCATAAATTTAGTGACTTTGTCTTAAGTATAATATTTAATTAATTTCGAGTGAAGTAAGTGATAATGTTTGAATTTATACATTTCTACAACAGTATGCATGTATAGAGATGATGATGTCAATGACAATTGTTGAAATTTTAGAATGTGACGTTGGATATTTTGGTTGGAACTGTTCGCAGACTTGTTTGGGGTGTATATCGAACAAGTGCGATAAGGCCGACGGCTCCTGTAGCATTTTCAGTGGCTGTAAACCAGGTTATGTAAAAAGTCAATACTGCAATCAAGGTAGGTAATCCTTCCATAGAATGATATCATAAAATGTCACGTGTACACTGATTGAATGATTGATTGTTGGTTGCTTAACGTCCAGTGGACGTGTACACTGCATGCACAAATAATAAAATTACATTAACATGAATTAACTTGAAAAAAAAGTTTCTTGGATTAAGTAGGATATTGAATGATGCATATGATTCTGGAAAATATTTCAAAGACACTTCACCTCTTTAAACGCATATGTAAACTCTACGAGAAACATAGGAATTGATTTTCTATCCAATAACTATATCAATTACCCTATTTATTAGACACTTTTTAGTAAATACAAGTAAATTGTATGTGTAATACAATCGATGGCAATCATGCTGTATCAGCTAACCGTGATGATATCGATATCGGTCACGGTTGCAAAGGCTTTATCAAACCCCTAATCTGTATGACATAACATAAACGATATCAGTCAAGGTAACAAGGGCTTTATCGAACCCCTTAAATATGTTTTACGTCATGACACGTGAAAAAAACATCTAAATTAGTTGTACTTGAGGTACATGTACATATAACCGACAGTACAAGACCCTCATGGGTAGTCAATGTCTTTAAAAAAGACTCGTCGACATGTATATAATAAAGTGTATATGCTATGTCTTTTTTCAATATCACACTCTGTATCAACCCTCAAGCAATATAATCCCTCGAGCAGAGCATTTGTGATTATATTGGTGTCTCGGGTTGATACAGGTGTGTTATTGAAAAAGCTATATGATGTTCTCTATTTATCACATCGAAATTGTAAAATTTTCCATATGATTTTGTTTTCTTAATATACTTGGTTGGAAGTAACCATCATGTGTAGCTCATCATCAGTTTGTCTTCGTAAAAAGATATATTTATGACAAATACTAGCAAATGGAATCAGTACAGCGATGTACGTTTATTCAAATCAATATTTATCAAGTCGAAAACATTTATAGTAACGTATATTGTAAGTTTCTATGAATAGCAACACATAACACAAGGTTTCAATTCAAGTGTAGATTGGTACAACAATTAATTCAATGACACAAATGAAATTAATTGTTGTTCGAACACACTATTTTGAATAAAAATATATATTTACATTGTTATGACAAATAAATTCAATATTCCGGAGAACAAATTTTCCTTCTTCAGGCAAAAGTAATAAACAATATACCGTTTCAAATATGTATCTAGTGTCAAACAATATTAGTTACATAGTGTGCTAGTGACCTAATACGATATATATGGAATTTACTTACACCATATATATCGTATTAGGTCACTAGCACACTATGTAACGAATTTATCTTACCGACTATTTTAACATGGGGTATTTAGACTAGTGGCCTATCAAAGTGATCAAGTCTTCAATACCGTTAGTATTAAGAACCTACTCCCATTGGTCTATACAAAAACAAATGCCAACAATAACAACTTGTTAGCTTTAAATGTGTTTTATGAATTTATTTCAATTGTTCATCATCAATTTCTTCGTCTGTTGAAACCTTTATGATTTTTCCTCAACACCGTGCTGTTTTTATAAAGGGAAGTAACACCACTACTAATAAGCCCCGCCTACTTATCCAATATGGAACCCTACTAACTTAATATGAAATATACACGGTCTCCACGCGGTTGCTTTTAACCAATCATATTCCTAGAAATGTATAGGAGGTAAGATAAATCAATGTGTGTAGGTACCGAAATGTTTAAATAGGTACCATGTTGTACATTGTAGTAAGATTAGTTTTCAACGTCCAGTGAACTGATCAATACCATGTTTAGTATGATGCATTTTTTTTAATAAGTTAAAGTTTATCTTTCCTGTAACGTTTTTTTGTCTCATTCATTTATAACATCAGGTTCTTATCAGTGTAATTGATAGGTCCAGGTTTTCTATAATCCTTCTAACAACAGTGTCAAACTTCACGTTACCTTTCAGACCTGCGATAGTGACGTTCTCAAATGAATGATTCTTTGAGCGAATAAGTCTTATTTGAGGATTTTTTTTAATATGTTTTGTACCTTGATTGATGGATATTTAATTGACTGTTAAATTAGTTCCATGTTTCTCCCACATAAAGAATACCATAAATATTACAAACTATTAAACCTTAACACATATATTGAGTTTTTAGTTTTACATTAATTTTTGTATATTGTATATGATAAAGCTTTGTTTTAGAACAGTGCTTAAAGAAGAGCTGGTATTGGCAGCTTAATGTATCAACTATTTTTTCTTACATATTATTTATACAATCTAGAAGTAAAGCAGACTACGTAGTTATCACAACTGCTACTTTACATATACATGGGTTTAATCCATAATTGATACGAAAGAAATATGATATGGTATATGCATGACACAAAATAACATTAGTACATGATATCACCAAAATATGTCATTACACATTCGTTATGAATTTCAAATATGTCCTTTGGTAAGTTCCATGTGTAAAGAAATTACAAGCTATAATAGATCAAATGTTGCACATGTATTGGTTTATCTTATATAGTAAAAATATTTAATATTGTCAAGTATGACTGCTGTAACTCGTGCAACTTAAAAGATATTTTATATCATGGTTTTTACACATACAAAATGTACATCTTTTTTCCACGAAGAGTGTGAAGACTGGTTTTTCGGGATAAACTGTGCAAGTAGATGCAATTGTCTAAATAACCCTTGCAACAAATTCAATGGGGATTGTTCTGCTGAAAGGTGTGCGAAAGGATGGCAGGATATTTCATGTAATAACGGTAAGTTGCAATTTGCTTATTTCTGATAGGCGACTGATAGTTTTTCTTAAAGTAAAACATAAACAGTAATATTAGTGTGTTCTCAAATTGGTTTTATTGTCAACAGTTTTTAGTTAAATGCATTTGTATAAACTTCCCGAATTTGTACCAATAATGTTATCCCAAGTATTACATGTAAATCCCATGACATAATGAACTGTATAACAACCAACTAAATGTAGCCAATGAGGAAAGGGTTTCATTGTTCATAAAAAAAATTCTTATAGTTATATGAAAAGATGGTCTAGGGAGCTAGACACAGTGCGGGTAGATTTACCATGACAAAAAAAGCATGATTTCAAATCCCACATAGGAAAGGACAAAAAGTTGTTGCTGCAAATTTACCGAATTTGCATTATGGGCCTACACTTCAGCCGAATCATAATGTAATTGTTGATGTTTGTCCTGAATAATTCTGAATTATCCGATGAAGAATGCATGTAGTTTAGTTGTCACATATGTAGACGTATCAAATAAAATAGCATTGCTTTTACTGCATACAAAGTATTATAATCCTTACCACATCCTGTAAGGTATTCCATCTACATTTTCATGCATAAATCTTTTCTGCACTACGTTACTGTCGTATATGAAGCCAACGATGAAAGAAAACATGTGATTTACGAAAGCTATATAGACTAGTTGGTCTAGTGGTGTTGCCGCTGGTCCTATTGCGTGTGGGGACGACGATTCTCAAATTGGGCTGAGAGATTGATATAGCAAATTTGCAGATCGACTAAAGTAGGCTTAATTTAATACAACGTTTATTATTATATATGTACAATGTATGAACATGTTAGATTTGATCCTGCAATTTTACCCAGACGTTTAGTATTTGATTTTATAAAAGCCGACATTGCTTAAACGCCGAACGCGAAGAAGAACATTAACGGATCTTTGACTTCAACAGTCATTTGAACATTACCATTCGTTCAACATAGCATCAGGATACTGCAAGACTATATAATACTACTATACAGGATTTTAGAATTGTTTGATGTATAAATATATACAGTCGAACCTCGCTATGTCGAAGTCGAAGGGACCGGACCAAAGTATTCGTCTTATCCGAGGTTCGACTCATCCGAGGTTGAGTGTGTCGTCATAAATTTGGAATGCATGAAATACGGTATGAGATTTGTGTAAACTAGATACTTTGAACAGTGTGTCATTTTTCGATATGACACTTTATGATTGTGTATTCAATCTCCATATTTTTTGGTCCTTCATAATAATTAAACACACAAGTACAGATACAACTCTTCACAAATAAAATCAATAGTATACACTAATATGAACAAAGGTCAGTCACTATAATTTGTGAAATCACTCGCGGAACGAAACAAGTTCTGAACGGTCTCTGATGAGGTCATCTGCTTTACATTAAATTATTATCAATTTATCATTATTGTCTTAATCCTATTATCTATTGTAATTAATGAATTTTAATTCTAACGATTCATTTAATCTCGGCTTGGATCATTTAAATTCGTTTCGTTTTAATATCAGGTGAAATGTGTTCAACACACTAACGTTCCCCTTGAACGATCAACAAAGGTGTTTTGTCATAGATAAATGATTTTTTTATTAGTTGTTATTGGCTTTGAACTAGCTGTCAGTAACTGCGAGTACTCTCGGATCTGTACTTAGGGTTTTTGTTTGGTGTAGGGATGTATAAATACCCTGCCACGCCTGTTACTTGTTTTTCTGCTTTGTATCGAACTGATGAGTTAAGCCCTTTTCACCTGATTTTTATAGTTTGTTCATATGATGTACTGTTTGGTCTCTGGTGGAGAGTTGTCTCATTGGCAATTATACCACATCTTCTTATTTTTATATTAGACCCACCACATTCTGTATGTGATTATCCCAAGTCAAGAGCATGTACTTCAGTGGTTGTCGTTTGTTGCTATATATTGTAATATGTTTTCTCGTTTGTATTGTTTTGTTTTTGTCATTTCGGGGCCTTTTATATCTTTCTATGCTGTATGAGTTTTGCTAATTGTTGAAGGCCATATGGTGACCTTTAGATGCTAACCTTCTACATCATTTGGTTACTGTTTGAGAGTTGTCTCATTGGCAATCATAACACATCTTCGTATTTCTGTACGTCTGCTATGATTTAGAAAAAGGTTCAGACCATTAATCAATGAGCGAAAACTAAATGCCTATATCACACTAACAAAAAATCAGAAATGTTATAAAGGAAAGAAAATAAAACTATACTGAAAATGGACCGCTTTGTTTATATTTATATTATTGTGCTGATGCGTCGTAAAGCAATCAATAATCAATCAATATATTTCGAAATCATAAATATGAATTGTTAAACCCTTTTCAAATATTTTACTTCGTTGTCCATCTATATAGCAGTGATCTTAGCTCCCACTGTTTAAATTGTTCGATCTGTTACTAAAATCGAGACAGTATTTCAGTTAGGATATTGATTTGTAAAATTATTATGTTAAAAAGTGTCAACTTAATGTTTTGATACAGAGGCGGAAGATACCAAAAACATAATCAAACTGATAATTCGAAGACAAACCGACAACACCAATTAAAAAAAACGACGAAAAGACAAACAACAATCTACAAAACACAACATAGACCACCCAAGACTGACCAACACGAACCCCATCAAAAACTGGGGGTGATAGATGGGATCATTAATTTTATTTTCAGTATGTATTAGTTAATTACTAGTTTATTTATTTCAGAATGTGGAGCTGGCTATTTTGGTTTAAACTGCGCCTACGTGTGTGATACTTGCTTTAATCAGTCCTGTGATATATTTGAAGGGAATTGCAAAGTCGGTTGTAACGACGGTTATCGTGGTCGAAAGTGCGAGACGCCAGGTAACTAACAATATTAAGTTTACTGTAAATGTATTTGGTGTAGTCGGTTATGCTATTGTAGATTATTGTGAAAACAAACTTCGGCTTTAACTGGAAATAGCTTGAAATCATTTTTGAAATAACTGATATTGAATTGTATATTAAATTGTGAAATATACTTTCCTTTTTGTGCATTCATGGCAACATTTCGCATTTATTTGCCATGAAATATTGCAAAAAGGTCATGTTCACCGAAAATTTTGTTTGAAGTAGAATTGCAATTTTTTTAACTGATACCGTTTTCTGAAACCGTTGACATTTATCTATCAGCAGATTAAACAAGGGGTGCTTTTTGCCTCATGTGTGTGTGTATTTGCAAGGAAATGCAAATAAAATGTTTAGAGATAAACAGTTTTTTTATACAGTTCTAGGAAAGAATTTAATTGAAAGGGCTATTTTTTTCAGATTAGAAACCTTCAATATAGTTAAATTATGAGTAAAGTTTTAGACGTTTCTTAATCGACAGGCAAAATTAATTTTATTATTTGAGTTTTAAACGTCAGAGTACAAACTCTGTCTTTGTAAATAATTACTACTGTGTAACATAAATATACATTTATTTTATAAAGTAGCGATATATATTGATTTGTATTTACATTTTTCAGTTTCAGCAGAATCATTAAGTTTGATCAAATCTAGCTTCTTCATGGGCGGATTTGCAAGCATGTTAGGTATCCTGCTAATAATTTTGACGGTCGTTATTGCGACAAGACGAATATTGAAAAAGCAAGGTAACTTAACTTAAAAAAAACATCATCATACAGTTTATATAATAATGAAGAAATAAACATGTTTTTATGTGGTGCCTTGTATCGATCTATGAGTTATGCCCTTTTCAACTGTTTTTATAGTTTGTTCTTATGTTGTATTGTAACATCTCTGTTCCAGGAGGGGAGGATGGCACAAGCAGACATGTTTAAACCCACCACTTTCTGATTGTGGCTGTCCCGAGGCAGGAGTCTGTAAATTCTTGGTTGTCGTTTTTTCCTGTATATCATATTTGTTGTTCGTTTATTGTTTTTTAACAAATAAATCAGGCAGTTAGTTTTCTCGTTTGAATTGTTTTACATTTGTCATGTCTGGGCCTTTTATATCTTACTATGCGGTGTGTGTTTAGTCATTGTTGAAGGCCGTACGGTGACCTAAAGTTGTTTACTTCTATGTCATTTGATCTTTGGTGGAGAGTTCTCTCATTGGCAATCATACCACATCTTTCTATTCTATATTATGATTTGCAAAGGGTTCATTTCACACAAAATAAACTAAATTTAGAAAAACACTGTCTCAAGCGCTCACATGCTTTTGGTAATAATCAGACGATGATAAAACAATGTCCTAATATACACTGCCTTTGATACTGTTATGATGTTACAACAACGTAGACGAGAGATAAAATTAAAGGTTTGGGATTTATAGCATTCTTTTGTTGAAATGTCCGTCGATACATTTAAAATTATTAGGGAACTATAGTTCAAACTTCCCCTCTCAAGTTGCTCTTAAGTGAATTCAGTTTATCCTATTGAATGTTTTTTTCCCATAGTCTATTCCATATTTGTGTATTTATACATCGTTTGGTTTAAATTGTGAGGTATTAGTGTTCCTGATAAAACATTAATGGGTTGATGAAATTGATATCATGGATAGTTAAAAATACCTGTGCAGTTGTTGATAGTGATTGTCTATACATGTTGTCTGTTAGATGTAAAGACTTTTATTATATTTGACGACATTCAAGGCACTCTCATTGTTTTTCATTATTTAATATTGTTTTTGTTTTATTCTTTAAAGGGGCATGAGCTACGAGATATAAAAAAAAATTAAAACAGGATTTTTTTTGTTGTTCAATCATTAATGAAAATGAAATGGTGAAATAATAATTCGCTTTTAGCAGCCATTTTGGTTCAATTTTGTCAAATTAAGCTAAGAAACATCGCTGATGAATTATTCACTTGCAAGTAAATAATTCGACCTCATTGAATCCGTATTCATGTTACTTTTTATTTCACCCCTTAGCTAGAGATGGGTTACGCATGAACTAGGCGTGTTTACCTAATATAAGGAAACGAATGTCAACATTGAATGTGAAACAAGGGTAAACCATTAGGTTGACTGTTTAAATCCACAAAAACTTATTCTTATACAGGTAAAAACGATGATTAACATATTTGTCTAACCTATAATATGAAATCAAACAGACCTACAAAAATCAAATTGCACGTGTTCGCTTTTTATTTATATCTATATTTATCGGCTTATATGACCGTCGGCAGTCTTCGGAGGTCACCTCGATGGTTAATTAGATGGTGTCTAGACTAATAAAACACACGTAATCCTGATACATATTATCGAGTTCATACATTGTTAATTGTTCATTTTAGACTTTTTGTAAGTTGGATATACGTTTTAGTAGGATAAATCAAATATTATAATTTGAATCAAATCGATGAATATGAATTTAACAGCTAATGCACCTTTAAAAAATATTACATTGGTTGAACTGAATATATAATACGTTTGATAGAGAATACATTGAATGAAGAAATTTTTCAGAAGTAAATATTACTTGTAAAATTTTGTTGCACCTAAAAATGTTTTCTTTATATGATCGCCAGTGAAAATATTCATGCATAACACATTTTTTTTTTACAGAAAGTGGAAAAGCTATAAACAGTTCACATTCAAACTTGTAAGTCCATTTGATTGACTGTTTAATTTTCTGCTTTTGATACCGAATATTTGCATTCCAATACAAACACTTCATTCTAATATGACGTTCTTCAAACGCTTTGAGTACACACCCATTGTAAATTATGAATATATTGCAATTGTACATGTTGTATGTTAGCTGATCGGCAACGTCATGATTTGTTGGGGCTGTCCGATTATCTTCCCACGTCATAGGCTTTTTTTTATGAACGAGCTACCCCATGTCAATCGGTGTAAATGACGTCATTGTACGATGACGTAAGAATATAAGCATTTTACGGGAAAATGCACGGTTGTAAAACTGAAAGTCATCAAAACAAGGAAATACATATAAAAACAATGATGAAATTTGTTAAAAGCCAATTTTTGTTTTACAAATAAGTGAGATTATCATTTAAATTCATCCAAACCTATCTAAGTACGTTATTTTAAATAGTTTTAACATGTAACTAGTTCAATATTCTCTGTTCTTTTATGTCAATATTAATAGTATGTTTAATTACGGCAATGGCAAATGTTTGCCTTCACCTAGAACGCTTCGATCCAAAAGAATTGCCGTATTTGTCCTATTAGAATAGAAATGATTCGCGAGGGCTTGAATCTATACTGATGTTACCACGGATTTGCCCTTTATGTCGATATTTTACCCCTTGCTATCGCTCAAGATAAAATATTTAGCATACTTGAAGAGCCAAACCGTGGTAAAATCATTATAAATTCAAGCCCCCATGAATTATTTCTTAAATATAAACCTTCTCACTAAAATGAATAAAAGAAAATATTACAAAATTGATGATGAAATCAATACGAACAACGGAGCTTAGAATGAAGAACTTCAACAAAAAGCACGGATATCAGGCTTTGAGAATACGTTTTCGAAAACTTGAAGGCAAAACATTTTTTTTTTCGTTTATATTGTCCTTTTTTTTTTAAATGTGTATCATAAGTCAGGAGTCCCAAGTCAGGAGCCTCTAGCCTTTGTTTTTCTTGTATTATTTTTAATTTTAGTTTCTTGTGTACAATTTGGAGTTTAGTATGGCGTTCATTATCACTGAACTAGTATATATATTTGTTTAGGGGCCAGCTGAAGGACGCCTCCGGGTGCGGGAATTTCTCGCTGCATTGAAGACCTGTTGGTGACCTTCTGCTGTTGTCTGTTCTATAGTCGGGTTGTTGTCTCTTTGACACATTCCCCATTTCCATTCTCAATTTTATCATAGTCTATTAAATTCAATCAAAATGCGATGGAAATATCGAATTGTTCAAAAATGATTTGAATTTATATTTTATATGAAAGGTCTTTTTTTTTATATTTTTCAGTCACAATACCATTTGCAATACTTCATATACGCTACAAAATCAGAAATAAAAAAAATGCACACGATACTTTATAAAAACATCAAATATTATAATTCCGGTAGAAACTCTGAGTAGCAATACCTGGATAGACAGTTGAAAATTCTATTTTCCAAGGATCGTTTAATATAAATTATTGACATAAAATTAGAATCAATAACTGATCCTTTTTTTTATTTAACGTCCATCTGCAAATACTACATGCATATTCAAATAAAAGGTACACGAACATAATATTTGCTTTATTTTGATCTTATACAAATCAATTCCCTAGTTATCCTGCTCCTATGTTGAGTGGATGGTAAGTTAAAAAATAAACTTTCTATGTCACAGTTATTTTTTGAACGCTTTACCGACCGCATTTAAGCAACTGTAATTTCTGTAATAATCAAAGACAATGGTTGATAATTAAAGAATGAATTTTTAATCCTCAGCGTCAAGTTTAAATTGCAAAATAAAATTAATGTATGGAAATTGTCAGAAAATACTCAATTTCATTGTATAGAGCTTTGAAATATGATCGTTCAAAACATCCTTCCTTGACGCTTGCATGTGCTACAAAACAGAACAAAAGCTTGACAATCTAGAGCCTCGTTTTATTTTCCTCTCCGTTCTTCAGTTCGTACATATAGAATGAACTTCATAACAAAGTGGACATGGACACCTGATATTTAAATGATATCGTGTCAGTCACTGGCTGTCAACAACAAAGACTTCACGCAATTACAGTACTATTTTACACATGTCCATTCATAATTTTTTTTTTGGCATGAAAGTTTATAGGAATTTCTTTTGTTTATATTTATATACTCACAGCAAAAAGTTTCTTTTGAAAGAATGAATATTTTCAGAGGTGATATCACCAAGTAATCGAGAGAACATCATTGAGTGGATAGGTCAATCGCCAAAAAAAAAAATGCTTTATTTGTAAACAAACAATAATACATGCATTGACGGGGGAATAAGTATGCTAAATAATACATGTCCGTATAAGGAATGTGTCCAACCTGTTAAATGCAGCTGTTCTGTTGATTTGAAAAACCAATGGACGGATCACAGCGATTTAATTTAGAATTGTACTTATTTTTTTTAACTTGTTTTTCAGTCTCTATCCATGAATTAGATATGTTCACAATACCTTTTATACTAGAATATGAAACGAGTGCACCTAGTTTAAAGGTTATTATTACACTGTTACTGTTATGTTGACATACTAACCTGTACATTATCTCGTGTAACAGTTGACCAGTTTAGTCTTGTGCACATGATTTATAATTCCAAAACAGATGTATTGTGAACATATCATTAAATTCGTGGATATATATTAAATTAGACTATCATTGAGTGAATTAGAAAAGGTTTTATTTTTGCTTGTCAGTTTGCACCCCCCTTTTCAGTCTACACACACGTTACTGATATCTAACAAAGTAATCAGCAATAATTTTACTCGGACACATGTTAAAGAATTGAGAAACGCTAGTGTTAACTCAAAATTCCTGATTTATTAAAAACTAAATATTTCCAAAAATAGTAGAATACAAACCAGTATGGACATTTATGTGTTTAATCTTTTTAATTATTCAATCGTCTTTACAATGAAACATGGATTGTTGTTGTTTGCATGATACGGGTTATGTTCTTCTCATATATTTTATGATGGTATGATACTGAACCCCTAACGGGAGAAATTGTCCTTGATTTTCTTATGATGAAGACATAATCTTTCAATCAGTTTAATTGAGGTTTGGAGCTGGCATGTCAGTAACTGCTAGTAGTCCTTTGTTAATTTATGTATCATTGTCATTTTGCTTAGTTTCTTCTGTTACCTATTCCAACATCGGACTCGATCTTCTTTTTAACTGAGTTTTACCGTGTGTATTGATGTGTGCTTGTTTATTCTACATTGGCTAGAGGTATAGGGGGAGGGTTGAGATCTCACAAAAAATGTTTAACCCCGCCGCATTTTTTCGCCTGTCCCAAGTCAGGAGCCTCTGGCCTTTGTTAGTCTTGTATGTTTTTTTAAATTTTAGTTCTATTATATGTTTTGGAGTTTAGTGTGACGTCCATTTTCACTGAACTAGTACATATTTTTCTTTAGGGGCCAGCTGAAGCCCACCTCCGGGTGCGGGATTTTCTCGCTGTGTTGAAGACCCATTGGTGACCTTGGGCTGTTTTCCGCTCTTTGGTTGGGTTGTTGTCTCTTTGACACATTCCCCATTTCCATTCTCAATTTTATTACTTTCTAATTAAAAACGTCGTTCAAGTCAGATACAAAACAAAAGCAACAAAGAAACAGGGTAACAACCAGCCGTATAGTTATTCTGCACTTGTAGTCAAGTTAAGGTTCTCGACTATCTCCTCGGACTTGACCTGACTACTCGTGCAGAAAAACTATACGGTAACGGTTGTTACCTGGCCAGTTTTTTTTGTTACCTTTGTTCTGTATATAATACATGTATCCCCATTTAGAGGCCCCTGACATACTGTAATTGTGTGAAGTCTGTGTTGTCGAGAGCCAGTGATACACACGATAACATTTAATTACTATGTGTCCATGTCCACCCTGTTATGAAATTCATTCTCAATGTCGTATTTTTTTATAATGTTAATGTATTGTATATACATGTATATACTTTGTTTATACATGTATATATATTGATTGTAGTTACACATAAAAAATGCTTACAACCGGCATGATTTTTCCAAATTTTTACTTTAAAGGTTGCACTTCTGTAAATATAGACAATGCAATTTCCCATAAGAACTCAAACTGTGCCACTTTTACTATGAAGTTTCGTAAAAAATCATATCTTAGAATGGAATGTTCATATGCATTACTATTTTTTTCAAAGGTCAAAACATAGGGCTGTGCGGCATATTTTTCAACATTTATATGCCTCGAACTTTTAAGAGTTTAAACTTATAGTAAAATTCTGTATTACCCCTCCCTCCACTGTGGGTCTTCCTCAGAATTCAATTGAGCCGCTATCCATGTGTATTAACACTGGTAACATTCTGAAGTTGTGTCTCTACGAGATGAAGCAAAACGATCATATCTGGGAACCAGTAGGTAAACAAAACAAAATATCTATGAATATTACATTTCTCCCCAAAAGAGGCGTGGTTTGTGAAACAGCTGTTGCTGTATCTACACAGTGCAACCTATAGTTATGATATATAAAAGTGACTTTTAACAATTTGTTTAATTATTTAAAATGTACATTTACCCTTGACAGTCTAATGTTATGTGTTGGTAAGTTTATAAACATAATCTCCCACTAACAATGCACAATTCATCCTGTGTTCTTTATTTTGTAGTAACGAGCAGCATTATGATGACATTATGAAAATGGAAAGTGTATCAACATATCAGGATTTGACGAAACAAACAGTTACTGTATCAAACGACTATGATCAAATTAATAATGCATATGTCAATCAATAGATAAAAATATAGCATTTGTTTATTTGAAAAAAAAACTGCATTAAGTATCTTTACGACATATATATATGTACAATATTATGTCAATGTCAGGAAATATCAACTTTTTGTATGAGGTTTAGAAACCGGTTTGTGTGTCTTTCATTTGTATGGGCATTGCTCAAGTAAATAAGGGACATAACTCTCGAGAAGCTATAAGAAAATCACCCAAAAGAATGTTAGTCTTCGTTTTTTTCATGAGTGATAACATAATTATTAAGATTTAACATGTAAAACTGTGGGATACTGTGGTAACTGGGAAGTTGATGAACAATGAATTCAAAACATATCACAGTTAATCATGTTCACATATTTGTAAAACCTTAAACTAACTAATTTCAGGAAGCTTCATTTGCAGTTCCATCGATAATTGTGACGATTATTTCGTTCATTACCATTTTGTGTTAGAATATATTCGGTAACCAGGAAGGTGAGGAGCTATGAATCTGAAACAGAATCACCAAACTTATGATAACGGTGCCTTCTATGAAGTGTGCCTTCGCGTTCTATGTGTACTGTTACTGTCATAAAAATATGATACAAGGCACAACATACTGATTCTTCATATAACTAAGAAAGGTCAAATGAGAGCAACCCCAAATTGTATTTCAAGCCCTTTGCTGAATATGAAACGATTGTTACGGATTAAAATTGCAGATCAAACCTACTATGTTTATTCATTACATGTAAAAATATGCAACTATATTAAGGGGCATGCCTATTTTATATCAACGATAAATACTGTGGAAGAGGGGTTTAATTCCTGCTATGGCATTTGTAACAATTTTTTTTAAAAAGTAAATAAGTTGTCAACAATGCTGAAACGTGATCTGACGTACAGATAATTCACGAAGCTACTATTAAATAAATCATTTCATTAAAAAAAGTGAAGAATCAATATAGGAAACAAAATAAGCATACAAAACTGAGTGTCGTCATGTGGTTTTCCTAAAATGGAAGTCATACCACCAAGAACGAGAAGACACTTTCCATCGAGGACACCGTTTTACATATTGTAAACACACGATATACATAGAGTAGAGCCATTAACCCCCAAAAACGGCCCTGTAAAGGTGTATCTTTTGTAATTTCAATTGTCTGAGAAAATCTAATATGTTTGTATTGCTAAATGTATCATTTTTAAAGTATAATAAGAAAAAGTGTATAACTGCTTCATATTTATAAATATATTAGCATGAAAAATGAATAGATTTTATTTAAGTCCATTTTACCGGAAATTGTCACTTTTTTCTGCCTTTTTACATGATTTCAAATTTGGCGCTTCTGTATGTTAATAACCTTAGGACCAGGATTCCGTATGATAGCCTGTAGAAAGGCTAAATGTCTGTCAATATCCAATATACTTTGATCATTTTCCAATGGCATTCCAAAGGAGTAAGTTCACGAAGGGTTAAAATTGACCTTACGAATTTTAAGATTTTTTACTCAAGCCAACATACTTCAAGTTTCACATTGAAATAGTTGTGATATAACTATTAATATAAAATACTTAGTAATTTTGTTTAGCAAATCACATTAAAAATGACAAAACAATAACCCCTCAAGTGCATTTATGTAATTTTTGGTCAATTTTTCAATAAGTTTTAACAGTTTTTAATATACTTTACTTTGGCCGCCACCTCTGATCCAGAATTGTTTTTTGTGCCTATGGATTCAATTTCATCATTGGCAACTTTTGGCTTCAGCACATTTTAGATCCTAGGTTGCGGCCAAGGGTTAAAAACTTTCCTCAAGCTTTTGTGTAAAAGAAAATGCACAAAACCATCGTATTTTGACAATAGATCCAAAATGTGCTGACTTTGAAGCCTAGAATGTCTAATGAAGTGAGGTTTATAATAATTATTGCAATTTTGATATTTTATGAAAAAGTTTAATTTCAAAGCCATATTTTGCCTGAGGTGAACCTTGTCCTTTCCCATCTAATCATTGAGGTCGACCCCCTCTTTACAGTACACAGCTATTGTATTAAATGTTTATTTTTTCTAGCCATGTTAAAGAGTAGTCAGAAATCCTTATTTATGAGCAATAACTCCTTAGAGATTTATCCAATGGTTTTGGTCATGTCAATCTGTTTGAATATCTTATATTGTTGATCATTTTTGCAGTGTTACTGTATCTACCTATGTCTTATAGTTTTGTACATAATGAGCAATAGCATGAAATTAGCCAAAAAAAATCATCATTTGAGGGCATCAACTCCTTTGGTAGTCATATTATGGTTTAATCATATTTGAATTTAAGGAGTCATTTGATATGTTTTGTTAAAATAGGAATCAGGGCCTAGTATCATGAAAACCTATCTTAAGCTTCATTTAAGATAAAACTTACGAACGCTTTACGAGAAATTTACGATGGTGCTAAGAGCGTATCTCCAATCCCCTCGTGGGTAACACTTAACAATTTTACATCCATCTTAGTATACACTTACGACTGCGAGTTAAGATAGTACTCTTATCGACTTTTCCGAAGTTACCGCCTTTGATTTTTGAAGAAAATATTAGAATTCGCCGCAAAATCGATCGTGAAAGTCATCTGTGCGTTTAATGGAAGGCTCGAAAAACGTACTTCAATTCAATACTTGTTTTTATTGTTTGTTATTATGTTGTACTGTCACACAAATGTCCCAGGTTAGGGGAGGGTTGGCGCCTACAAACATGTTTAACCCCGCCACATTCTATATGATCATACATGTGACTGTCCAAAGCTCGATCCAACGTCTGTTATTGAGTGGTAGTCGTTTTTTGCTCATATGGTTGTCATTGGTATATGTCTGTCATATATGGTTTTTCGTCAATTGTTTTGTTATGAATTAGGATTTAAGTTTTCTCAATTGAATAGTTTCATATTTTTCATGTCTGTGCCTTGTATAAACGACTATACGGTTTGGGTTTTTTATCATTGTTGAAGGTCTTACGATTGCCTATAATTGCTTGCATCTACTACACTGGAACTTTGGTGGATAGCTGTCTCATTGGTAATCATACCATATCTCCTTATGTTTATATATATTAAAGAAATATTTTCAGACATTGAATAAAAACAAAAATGGCAGAAGGAGGTTCTCCAAACGGTCCGAAGAAAACAAGGGACGATTTTTCTTTCCCTATTATCCCTTTGGCACTGTCTTGCGGTGTTTATATATCACAACTCGTTCGCTATGCCCGGGTCTGTAGTGACGTTTTGGATTTCAATGAACGGAATCTATATATTACTGGTAAATTATTAAGACAAGGATTTCGTTACCAGAAAGAATTAAAACCTGTACTTAATTTTTCTATACTAGTATATACGTAGATTTGGTTCGAGTTTGGCTGAACCTGTAGAAAACTTATTTCAATCAGAATAGGACATCCTAATTTTTACGGTGATGTTGTTTACCGAGCCTGAAAATTTTCATACGATTCGGCTAAATTTATCAGGACTTATCACTCCTTATTCTAAAAGGTTACCAATTCAACACTGTAATTAGACCTCTGAAAATAGTTTTATTTGTATAAAAAGTGATTTTGTTATCAGTAAATCAATGTTGATTGTGTTATGATTGATACTTTGGTCTTAGATACATGATTTTTTTATAAGTTATTATTGGCTTTGAACTAGCTGTCAGTAAATGCGAGTACTCTCAGATCGGTACATTGTGTATTTTTTGTTGTTGGGGATATATAATTACCCTGCCACTTCCTGTTTGTGTATGTGGTAGCTGTTTTTCTGCTTTGTATCAAACTGATGAGTTAAGTCCTTTTCAACTGATTTGTAGAGTTTGTTCTTATGTTGTGCTGTTTGTTCTTATGGTGTGCTCTCACTCAACTGTCCCAGTTTAGAGGAGGGTTAAGCGCTCTTTAACATGTTTAACCCCGCCGTATTCTTCATGTGCTTGTCCCAAGTCAGGATTTGTTTTTCGTAAATTGTTTTGTTATCAATTAGGCCGTTGGTTTCTCAATTGAATTGTTACATATTTTTCATGTCGGAGCCTTTTATGACCGACTATATGGTATGTTTTTTGTCATTGTTGAAGGCCATACGATTGTCTATAATTGCTTGCATCTACTACACTGGAACTTTGGTGGATAGCTGTCTCATTGGTAATCATACCATATCTCCTTATGTTTATATATATTAAAGAAATATTTTCAGACATTGAATAAAAACAAAAATGGCAGAAGGAGGTTCTCCAAACGGTCCGAAGAAAACAAGGGACGATTTTTCTTTCCCTATTATCCCTTTGGCACTGTCTTGCGGTGTTTATATATCACAACTCGTTCGCTATGCCCGGGTCTGTAGTGACGTTTTGGATTTCAATGAACGGAATCTATATATTACTGGTAAATTATTTAGACAAGGATTTCGTTACCAGAAAGAATTAAAACCTGTACTTAATTTTTCTATACTAGTATATACGTAGATTTGGTTCGAGTTTGGCTGAACCTGTAGAAAACTTATTTCAATCAGAATAGGACATCCTAATTTTTACGGTGATGTTGTTTACCGAGCCTGAAAATTTTCATACGATTCGGGTAAATTTATCAGGACTTATCGCTCCTTATTCTAAAAGGTTACCAATTCAACATTGTAATTAGACCTCTGAAAATAGTTTTATTTGTATAAAAAGTGATTTTGTTATCAGTAAATCAATGTTGATTGTGTTATGATTGATACTTTGGTCTTAGATACATGATTTTTTTATAAGTTATTATTGGCTTTGAACTAGCTGTCAGTAAATGCGAGTACTCTCAGATCGGTACATTGTGTATTTTTTGTTGTTGGGGATATATAATTACCCTGCCACTTCCGGTTTGTGTATGTGGTAGCTGTTTTTCTGCTTTGTATCAAACTGATGAGTTAAGTCCTTTTCAACTGATTTGTAGAGTTTGTTCTTATGTTGTGCTGTTTGTTCTTATGGTGTGCTCTCACTCAACTGTTCCAGTTTAGAGGAGGGTTAAGCGCTCTTTAACATGTTTAACCCCGCCATATTCTTCATGTGCTTGTCCCAAGTCAGGATTTGTTTTTCGTAAATTGTTTTGTTATCAATTAGGCCGTTGGTTTCTCAATTGAATTGTTACATATTTTTCATGTCGGAGCCTTTTATGACCGACTATATGGTATGTTTTTTGTCATTGTTGAAGGCCATACGATTGCCTATAATTGCTTACATCCACTTCATTTAAATCTTGTAAAATAGTTGTCTCAATGGCAATCATACCAAATCTTATTTTAATAAGAAA